AGAGCACCTGTGCCTCCGAAGAGAGTGGATCCAAACTGCTGTGCTCCTAAATTCCAGGGCAATCATAATCGGTAGACAGGTGTAGCAATATGGAAAACACCAGGCCTGTGCTTGCAAACAAGGGCTCCCCTAGCTTCCTAATATGCACAGTTCCCTATGCAAAGAGGGCACCCCACAGTGAGCAGTTAGAGAAGTGTCATATGTACTGGGTGGAGAGCAGGCAGGTGGCTTGTCTGGGAATACTTGCTAGAAATTGTCAAATATTTAGAAAGCATGCTTGTCTGTCTTGAGTTAACAAAATGAATGGCTGAGAAAATGTCACCTTGATGAGATTGTTTTGAAGGTTCTCCTTCCTTTTGGGGACAGCTTGTACCTATGGGGTAGGTAGAGTGACGTCTTTACCACTCTCCTTTTGTGTGGGGGAGACTCCCCTCCTCTTCTTTCAGCCACTATTTCCAGTCCTTCCTCAGTGCATCGGAAGATGGGAAAGTAGCAGCTTTGCTGGTGTCTGCAAGGTAAACAGGGAAACTGTGAGACTTGGCAGCATGAGATCAGTGCAATCTGCAGCCTGGATGATTTAAGAAACATGACACGTTCTCATCACTCCACACCCCCTGGCAGCACAGTGTGGCTGTCTGATGGAATGCAGGCAAGCCTAAGGCATGGCTGGGCCACAGCCATGCCCAAGGCTGTGGTTCCCTTGATAGGCCTTGGTTACTAGCCTGTTTCTAGCTGTGCCCTGCTTTTCGGCCAGTCTGTGTAAGTTCGTAGGTATAGTGATTGGGCTCGAGGGTTACTATGGCTGATAGTGGATAGCAATTCTTGCTTGCCCAGTGCTCTTGACTCATTGACCAGCGCCTTCTGGGAAAACCGGAATCTTGAGAGAATGCAGCCAGCATGGAGGAACTTGGCCAGGTCTGATTATGCACAGTTAAGATTTATTCAAGGCCAATGTCCTTGGTATTTCCCCACATAGAATTTTGTGTGCCTTTTGCTTCATGGCATCTTCAACTGTCATAAAAATGTCCCCATTTAAGAGACATGATGCATATAGAAAACATGTTACTAGAATTTTAAAATAAAATGTAAGCGCTTCCACAATTTTTAAAATCGTGTTGCCCATTCAAAAGAAAAGCCTGTAAAGTGGCAGGCAGCAAAATGCCCCCCACAGGGATGCCAGAGATGCGCGTGGGCCGTGGGTGTGTGGAAAGGCATTTTGCTTTTGTCTGAGTTCAGAAAGATTGGCCAGCTCTATCCACCTCAGCAGCAACTGTAACTTTATCCTCAGCCAGAGCAGTTCCGTGGACTTCTTCTAACCCTGTACTCTGATTGTCTTCCTTATGGAGCTTGACTGCACAGTAACTCCCCTTGCTGGGGCTTTCTATCTTGGGAACCATCAGGCCCAAGCCTAGCTGCTAGTCACTTCCTTTGGGAGCTCTCTTCCTGGGCCTGACCTTGCCTGCCCTCAGGCCTTCCTTAGAGTGGATTTCCCCTTTTTCTGATGTCACCAGCCTCTTTCCCAGGGTAAGCCGAGCTTTCCATGGAAGCGGAATAGATGTGGTTGTGAACTCAAGGCACCACCAACCCCCAGCTCTACCTCTGTAGCAGGCCGGTTCAAACCACTCCCAAAGACTTCTCCCTCCCCAGCGGAGGGATGTGGCCCATCTGGCTCTTTCCAGGTATTTCTGGACTAAGGAAGCCAGAGGAGCTCTCCCTGGAACTGGGAGGAATTTTGAGGGAGAAACATGCCAGTATCATTGTTGCCTGTAGAAGAACGTCATTCCCAGGCTTTGCCCCGGATACCAGGACCTTAGAGAGGGAAGACAAGACTGCCTTAAAGGAATTATAGCTTCGCTAAGAGGGCAGAGCTGCCACCCCAAATCATGAGCAAGTGAGCCAGGGGATGCAGCTGAGAGTAGTAGGCTGGGAGAGCATGACATGCCCCACCTTCTCATTCTGCAGGCCGCAGGGTCCTCATCTTTAAGGAACACCCCTTTGCCTCATAGGATAGCTGTGAGGTGTGGAGGGAGGAAGCAGCAGAAGCTGCCCCCTCAACACACACACACACACACACACACACACACACACACACACACACACACACACACACACACAGCTGAACAAGCGCATGAATCCCCCTCCTCCCTCCTTCCCCTTTTTGGAGGATGCTGGTGTTCAAGATAAGAGCAGGAAGCTTCTCGTTTGTGGAAGGATGTTAAACAAACTGCCCACATCAACTGCCTCCCCAACCCCCAGGTTTTAAATGTCTCTTACGAGGCTTCACTCAGTGTACTGGTGACTGTCCACAAGGCCTCAGGCTAAAGGAAATATAGAGTCGGTCAAGATGACCTTCAGAGCCTGCTGGGGTTTGGTTTTGCTCTGGTTCTGTCCTTAGGGAAACTGATGGTCATGCGATCATTTGTGAACCACAAACCAAGAACCCTCACAACCTAACATGCCACCTGCAGGTTCTGGGGATTCAAACTTGCTGTCTCAAGGAAAACACATTGCTTCACGGCTCTGTTTTGAGTTGTCATTTTTATTTGGTTGTTTATCCAGCTATTGACGGAACAACCTCTGCTTCCACACCAACCGAGCTCTTTCCTTTGTGGTTTCTGTCTGGCTTGACCCAGGCTTCTGCCTCCGGCTGCAGTCCTAGCCCGGCAGCAGCCTCTGTGTAACGCTGGGCTTTATTTCATATTGCGATGACTCGGCAGAGTGTTGGAAGGGGGTTCTGGGCATTCCTGTCAATTACCCTGGGAATGTGGAGACAGTGTTCACCTTTGGCTTTTCTTGTTGCTTGACTGCAAGCAAACACTCTTTCTGACATCATCTCTGGGAATTTTAGGGTGAATGGAAGGGGTGAAGTTTTGTAATGAACTACAGAAAGGTAGTTCACCCATCCACAGTTACCAACACTCAGAGAACCTCTCCCTTTTGCTTGGGTGTTATGGTATATGGGGCCCTTTGGCATGCTGGAAACCCTCTGTGATTTTATGTGAATCAACGTGTTGTCTCTTCATTATTTTAGATACCTTCCCTAGTAAATGATGCAATACACATAGTGTCAGATATTGCCAATAGACCGTGTGTGCTGTTGGTTTATTAACAGATGAATGTGTGATGCTGGGACCATCAGCTTCTCCAAGTATGGAATCAGGGAAAAACAAAAACAACAACAACAACAAAACCCACTCATTCCCTCAACAGCTTTTGGTTAGCCTATGTAACTACTGTTGATTTGTGTGCTGTCTGCATCCTGTGAGCTAAGTGCATGCATTAGCTATAGGGGCTTTCCTATTCTTTAGGATTCTCTACATAGAACATAATGCCATGCCAGAAATAAGCTTTAGGCTTTTCCTATGCCTTGTAATTTTTTCCTTGCCTTATTCCGTTGGCTAAGATTCCCAGTGCAATGTTACATATTAATGGCCAAGGCAGATATCCTTTGTTCTATTAGGAGTATATTGAGTACAGACTTTCCTAAGCAGATTTAAAATTTCTTAGTTACCAGAATTATTTCTCTGCTTCTGTGGCTTTAAAACTACTTCATAAGTTAACTTCTAAATCTGTAATCACATAGTAATTTATAATAACTTGGTATGATTTATACTGCAGAGACATTATTGTATTTGTTTTTAAAGTAACCAGCCTTGCCAGGACTATCATCACAGGCAATCTGGTGGAAAGCAGCATGGAGGAAGCCAGCTATTTTAAAATAGTGACAACTGAGAATTGATCCTACCCGTTAACTGTTTAAGTGTGTAATCACAACCCAGCCACATCTCCATCCACAGGCAGATGGAAATCTCATAAGCCTCATGTAAGGTTGCCTGCTTCACCAACAGAAACACAAAGTTATGTCCATCAGTGGATGGATAAGTTGAATGTGGGAGTGAGATACTTGTTAATAAAAAGGAGTGAAGTACTAGAAAATTCTATGGGAGGGACAGGATTCAGAAACATTATTCTCAATAAAAGGAGATAGTTGCAAAAGGCCATGTATGGCATGAGTCTATTTCTACAAAATGCCCAGAATAGAGAAATCCACAGAAAGCAGATGAATGGTTGGTTGTTAGGAGGCCAGAGAGAGAATGGGGTGAACGCGTGTGCGCACATGCTCATGTGTGTGTGTGTGTGTGTGTGTGCGTGTGTGTGTGTGTTTCTTTTTGGATGTTGAAAATGATCTAATATTAGATTTTTTTAAGTTATTTTATTTCAATATGTATGGGTGTTTTGTTGCATGGATGTCTTTGTACCACTTTTATGCAGTACCTGAAGAGACCAGAAGAAGGCGCCATATCCCTTGGAACTAGAGTTACACATGACTGTGAACCATGGAGGTTCTGGGAATCAAACCTTAGTCCTCTGCAAGAGCAGCAAGCTGTTAACTGAGCCATCTCTCCAGTCTCTAGCACTAGGTTTTAATGAGGGTTATTAAGTTTCTGACTATATTAAAAACCACTAAATTGTACATTTGGCGTGGGCACATCTTATGTATGTAAATTATATCTTAGTGCTTTTTAAGGGAAAGACCCGTGAGCTAATTAGTGGTCAGGCTAGACAGAGATGACCCCAGATGTGGAGTGGAAAGGCTGTCTCTAACTTGAAAGGACATCTCCAGGGAAGATAAGGGGACCACTTTAGGTGGGACCTTTCCATGCCTCACTAGGGGCAGCAACCTGTGCCGGTCCTTGAGGGCTGGACATCACACACTTCAGACCCCGGGCAGCTACATTCCACCCCCACCTGACTGCCCGGGAGCACAGGACGGTTTGGTGTAGGACAGAGGTGTTGGAAGCCTGTGCGTGTAGCAAAAAAGAAATTACCCCCAGGAGACCCTGAAATGTGAAGCAAAAACGGGTTTAGGCAACTAGTGCTGTTGGAAATGGGAGGCCAACTGGGTTTAGGCAACTAGTGCTATTGGAAATGGGAGGCCAAATGAGCAGCCAACATTGTCGCCAGGTAACTAACGCTCTTTTTTCTTCTTTCTCTTTCAGACTATAGCCATCATTTTCCCTTGGTGAGTACATAACTTTCTAAAATTGTTTGTAATATGATTAGTCAGCTAAAAATGCCTGGGATTTAATTGTTATATAAGACTTATCTTGTTGGGAAACGGGCCATATGGTCAGAGGGTGACATGCGAAGTTAGTGCCTTAACCTGCTCAATGGCTCACATCACACTTCTTGTTATTTTTTTTTTTTTCCTCCTGGCTCAGTCATTCAATGTCCTGAAACGTATTGTTGAGAGCAGTTCCCACGTGCTTCCCTTTCTCTGTCCCTTTTCTTTCACAAGGGGCTTGCCTTATCTCGGTGGCACACATTCAACACCCCTTAGGGAGCACAGTGGCACATGATTGCCTGGTGGGAATTCCTTCTTAAATGGATCTGCTGCCAATGGGGGCGGGGGGAGCTGCTAAGAAGGTGCTTTTCTGCATGATGTTTTTAGTAAAAAAATGTGTCTGTGTCATGGGATCTTGTGGTTTACACCTTTGGGGTCCAGGTAACAGCAAAATTCCACATCTCTGATGTGTGTGTGTGTGTGTGTGTGTGTGTGTGTGTGTGTGTGTGTGTGTGTATTTAAACACCATAGCCCAAATCTTGTTTTGCTTTGTCTTGTTTCAAACAGGCCATCACTATGTTGCCAGAGCTAGCCTCAAACTCAAAATCCCTCTGCTTTGGCATCCTTAATGATGAGATTCCAGGCCTATACCACCATTGCTTCCTTCATAGCCTTTTTCAAAAACACTTAAATCAACTTAATGCTGTTCTTCTTTTCAGAAGAAAGGGGAGGAGGAATCTAAGAAGTCTGTTGTCTTGTTTGTTTTTGTTGAGACAAAGTCTCCATCTGTAGGTCTGGATAGCCTAGAACTCACTATGTAGACCAGAATGGCCTCAAATTCAGAGAGGATCCTCTTGTTTCTGTCTCCTGAGTATTGAGATTTGGAGCATGCTCCCCCAATGAGTTTTGAAATGACTGCAAGAAGAGAAGGGAATGCTTAGTGCCCTAATGAGCATCACCAGCATATCAACTAGAAAGCTCCATTTCCTAAATGCACAGCCTCCTTTGAAATATCTTCACTAGTGGGGCATGCTGCCACATGCCTGTAACACCAGGTCTTGGGAGGTAGAAGCAAAAAGTTCTAGAGTTCAAGGTTAGCCTGGTCTACATGAGACCCCGTCTCGAACGACAAAACAGAAACAGCAACAATAAACTTTGACTGTGTTCTAGATTTTAAGGTTGGTAGATTGGTTCATTTGTGTGGTTGGCCTCCTCTGTAGGCAAGGGGTCCTTCATGGTGTGTCTCCATCTGAATGTGAATGGGTGTGGTTGTTCCTGCTTTTATCAAAGGCAGGCTCGTTCCGTGGTTGTTTCTCTGTGTTTTTGTAAGGTGGGCTAATGATAGATATCAAGAATTTATCAAGCTGAGAAAGAAGGAAGCCTTCATTTGTATATACTGAGTCTTACGGTCCTGTTATCTGGTGCATTGCTGTTAGATGTCATTGATTACGAATGGCATCCAACTCCGCTTGGGTAAATGGTGACAGTGGGAACATAGGGGAGGCTCATTGCTGAAATACATTTTTACAGGATGAAGATTTAATTGTGAGTCAGCAATCTCTATTGTCTTGGAACTCAAGCCAGCAGCGTTGACTTGTGCATGTTGGTGTGAACGTACATTAAACATGACCCTGTGGATTTGAGCAGCCTTTTTTTTTTAATGTGCCTGCAATGCTGGAGTGAAATATTCAAGGGTCAGGCCCCATGGATTTATCTTCTCAAACACAGGACACAGATTCTGGTTGGTTATAAGCATGTGACCTTTGTGCTTCTTGGCACTTCACTCTGGGCTGGCTTGTCCAGAGTCAGCCTTCCTTCCTCCCATTCTAGGGTTTCCTAGCCTCTTGGTCCATTGCCCCGATGCCCATCAGTGAGCCAGCAGCTCCCCAAATGAGTGATCCTGTGACAGCTGCTTGCCTGGCTCCTCAGACCCACCCCATAGTTCTGTTTAAAACCCAGCAAGAGGTTTGGAAGCCAGTGTCCTGCCTAGCAATGCTAAAGTGACTGTGTGTCTGTGTTTCCAATGTGAATCAGCACATCCGGGCAACAGCTCCAGTCTTCTTGGCCTTGACCTTTGCCTCTGTGTCTTGAGTTGGGCCACTCAGTGCCTGGCTTTAAAAATATGGGGCTGGGAGATGGCTCTGTGGTAAAGAGCTTTCTGCACATGCTTGAGGACATGAGTTCCAACTCCCAGCACCTCCAGAAAAGAGGTGGGTGCCTGCGACTGGAGTGCTGGGGGTGGGCGGGGACAGGAGAATCCTGAGGGCTGATTGGCCAGCTAGTGTAACAAAATAACATCAAGCTCCAGGTTCAGTGAGAGACCTTGATTCAAAAAGTAAGTATGTAGCTGGAAAGTTTTCTCTCCAGGTCCCGCCAAGCCCCGGCAGGCCAACAGCCCATTTATAAAATAAACACACAGATGCTTATGTTATTTAAACAGTTTGGCCTAATGGCTCAGGCTTCTTGTTATCTAGTTCTTACATCTTAAATTAATCCATTTCTATAAATTTATACCTTGCCACGTGGCTTGTGGCTTACCGGCATCTTCACATGCTGCTTGTCATTGCGGCAGCTGGCAGTGTCTCCCTTCCTCAGCCTTCCACTTGCCGGGTCTTGGCGGGACCTGGAGAGAAAACTCTCCAGCTACAGTAAGTGATTAAGGAAGACATCTCAGTGTCAGCCTTCGGTCTCCACACTTGCCAGCAAAGGCTAGTGCACTGACATTCATGAACACACACACACACACACACACACACACACACACACACACACACATACACACACACACACACTAAATAAATTTGCTTTTGGCTTCAAGAATCTTTCTGACTTGGAGAATAAGTATGTGAGGAGGGGACAAGGTAATCTATTCTGTCTTCATTAGGAATTTGCCTCCTGGGCTGTAGACAAGATTCTCTGGCCCATTTTGTTTTCCTTGGCAAACATTTGCGACTAGGCACAAAGCTTCGGTGAATAGTCAAAGAATTATTTCTGACTTCTGGCATCCGAAACTGGCTTTTGAGTGTCTTGGAACTTTGGACAGTCTGATTAGGCAGTACATGTCAGCTCCCTGGGGTCGGGGACTGTCACAGCCCTCATTCATGCTTTGTGGGATGGCCGCAGAGAAGTCAGGCTGTCAGCCCTATCAGAATGAACACACCAGCTGAAATAGACCTCACTTCTTCTCCTCAGCTTTCCCAGGAGGATGGAGATATTTAAGCAAGATGTGCCCCCAGCAAAGTTCACAAACATCGATTACTGTGACCACTGCTGTGCCCATGTTAACATCATTACAAAATCGAGGGGGCTGTTTCCAACTAAAGAAGTATAGAATTGGGCCTCAGTATGTGTAGACACCATGCTGTTTGCCAAAAGGCCTTCACTTTACTGGCATCATCCTTGACTTGCCATTAAAAAAAAAAACTTATATTAATATTGGCTTTCAAAAGAGTCAAAGTTTTTCTTTTTTGTATTGGATTAGGAGGAGCCTTTTCAGCAAGGGCTACCCCTTTTCATTTTATAGTTAACAATAAACTTAACAAAGTGCCTGCTATGCAAGTGTGAAGGGTTGAGTTCAGTCTCAACAAGCATATAAAAAGCTGGGAGAGGAGGTCTACACTTGTAATCCCAACACCGGCAAGGCAGAGACAAGCCAATACCTGGGACTCACTGGCCGGCTGCCCCAGACAGAACAGTGAGCTCCAGGTTCAGTGAGAGATCCTGTCTCAAATAAGGTGGAGCACAACAGAGGAAGACACTCGATGTAGACCTCTGGCCTCTACATAGGCTCACACCCATGCACATGCACACACATGGACTCACACACAAAAGACAAAACAATAGACCTGTGGAAGCAATTCTGCCATGCTTATCCATGACCAAAGGTCTTTCATCTGGGTCATATCTGTATCTGAGCGGGTTCCTGTGGCCTAGAATCTAATGAAATGGAGTGTGAGTGTTAAGAATTTGTGGAAGACAAATGATTAAGGTTTAAGTACATTCTCCAGACCCAAGGAGCGTCTCTATTTTAAAACCTAACAGTGGCCATGGCCAAGTAAAAGCAAATGATTCTGTAAAGTGAGGGTTTCACATTGACTCATGGAAATATCAAAGGGATGAAACTGGACAAAAGTGATAGTATCAAACAGTAGCTGGGCATTCATCAGCTCACCCTTAACGACTTACACCTCCTCCCCTCGCACTTACAAAGCATGTTGAGTTTTCTCCTCTGAGTCATTGCTCTTTGGTGTTGGTGTGAATGGCCATGATAGACGATAATCTGAGATTTTTCAAAGAATAGTTCCTGGCCCTGGTCTTTGAGGTGGGATGCCCTTAGGTGGAAGTCCAGAGTGACTTAAGTGGGCAGAGCAGGAGCTGCATGCCCTGAGCTGGCCTTTGGAATAACAGGAAGGAGCAAGAGTAAGTGTGCCGGGCACAGGAAGAGGTACAGCTCTGTAAGGCGTGTGGCGCGGGTCTGATGTGAGCCCTTTGCATGCACTTGGGTTTTCTGTCAGTTCCCGGCTCCCCGAGCTTCCTTTCAGATTAGTAGAGCTTCTGGAAGCAACGAGAGGTTCCTTCCACAGCTGACCCCTGGAAGCTGGTGAAGGTCTAGCGTGCACTCTGGGAACTGAGGGTGACTCACGGCCTTCCAGTCCCATTCCCTAGAGAGCTTCCACCTTTTTTCTAGAAGTGCTTCCCAGAGGCATCTGGTAGGAAGTCTATTGTCACACACAGAGGCAGGCAATCCCCATCAGTCACCCTTTCCACTTGGAGGGAAAAAGGAACCTGGGTTTTCCATATAAACTCCTGTCTCATCACCGCGCCTGCGGCAGACCCTGACATTCATCTCGAAACCCATTTCAGCTAACAGAGAAACATGGATTCCCCAAGGCCAGGATGGCTGCCATGCATCATCCCAGTTGGACAAGAGGTAAAGAGGGAACCCGAGGGGAGCCTTT